TGTCCAGTTACATTCTGAAGTAAAAATACTCATAGGCTTTTCAAATCCATGTACACAACTTTCAACTCTATTTGTATGGAAATACTCATAAATACTGCTGTGTGTGTGTCTCTGGATGACAGGGCCTATGAATGAGCAGACGCCTTCCATTGCCCGGAACCTGGAGAGCTGGCCACAAATGTGAGGTTCTACCATTGAAGAGCCTGAGTGTCTCATTTTGGAATGTGGACATTTTGTTGAGGATCGCTGCCAAGCTCTTCTTGGTGACCCTGCTGTATTGAACTGTCATCCCTTCAGAACAGGAACTTTTGTGCTCTCTAGTTGCGCCCTCCCCGCCCACCGTCTTGTGCACTTGGCACACAGCACATTACCTATGTTTATCCTAGCTTTCATTCAGTTCCCTGAGTTATTTATTGTCTTCACTTCCATACCACTCATTTGAATCTTGAAAAAAAAGAAGAGATCTTTACATTTTTCTGCCTGTTAGTTAATTCATGGTGTCAAATAGATAAATGAGGACTATATCAAATGAGCACCCACATGTGTGTGTTTTTTGAGATGGAGTCTCACTCTGTTGCCCAGGCTGGAGTGATATGGCATGATCATGGATCATTGATGCTTCAGCCTCCTGAACTTAGGTGATCCTCCTGCCTCAGCCTCCCATGTAGCTGGGACTACAGGTGCACACCACCACACTCAGCTAATTTTTTTGATGTTTTATAGAGACAAGGGTCTTACTATGATGCCAAGGCTTGCCATATGTGTTTTATCTGGAGTTTATTGAGAGGGTTGTGACCAAAGGATTGGAGATAACAGTGTCAATATGATGTTTAAAGCTGTTAGCACCAGTGATGCCACCAGATGGCCTGCTGGTGACCATGCACATTTCCACCCAGTAATGTCCTTATTCTTTCTTCATTCAGTTGCACAGACAACTGTGGTCCCACCACATCAACACTTTTTCCATAGTAATGTCCTCACTCCAATGTACTCAGACCTGCATCTTGTCTGATGCCTCCGTGCTCACATGCATCCTGATGGCAGGGCCTTTTACATCCCCTTCCTCCTTCCAAAGGGAGAGAAATGGTGAGAGAAGCCAGCCAGGGACTCTGCCTTAGGTGCACTAGCTTTTACTCAGAGTCCTGTAAATAGTGAGCAGTGGGTGCAAAAGAGAGTCAGGAGAAAACACAGAAGCAAGTGGTTGTCACAGAGATAAGAAGAGAGTCTGGTGGAGGGAGGCTGGAGAGTGCGTGAGCCTCTCGGGCCAGAAGTACACGACTGTGCCTCGCAACCAAGAGATCCCTGGAGGGTCCCCACAGCACTCTGGGTGCTGTGCATTCTTGGCAGCTGATCTACTGTGGTTCTGCTGGTTCCACCAGGAGAAGTGTCCAGTTGCTCACATTCAAAATGGGGAGTGCACAATGAGGGGGAGTGCACAATGAGGAGGAGTGACCCATATATGTCCCTGTCATCTTTTACTTTTCTACGTCTCCCTACTGCACCTGGAGCCTCCCATGAAGGAGGGACAGTTCCTCAGAGCTTCTTGGCACCAGAGGTGTGGCCCATGCTCAGAAAGACTATAGGAATGTGGAAAATGATTCAGAAGAGAGGAGGAGGATACATTTCTTCTGGAAGAAAGGCATTATCAGAAAGAATAGTGGGTTAGGTTGTGAGCAACCTTGAGTGATGGAGAGCCTCCATTAGCTAAGGAGAACTCATTTGCCTAAATGGTGGGCCCGCTAGATGGAGTTGGTGTTCTGGCTAAGTGGATCGACCACGGACTTAATGTTATCTGGAGCTGTAAAATGAAACCTGTAATAAGGGAATTTGTATATAGCCAGCTCTGTCAGCAGATGGAGGTGACTGATGTCAGTATTGCTCTTCTGTGGAATTCTATTGCTTTATCATATTTCACGAAACTGAGGTAGGGCTGCTGATATTTAAAAGAGTCACTAATCATTGTCAGCATATGCTTGCTATTTCAGTCAACCCTAAAGACCAGGTTTTAAGGTGTTCTTGATCTGTCCTGTGACACACACAGACGGATGGCTTTATTTTCCATGGGTAGTTTAATAAACCCAAAGTATACACGTGTGTGTGTGTGTGTGTGTGTGTGTGTGTGTGTGTGTGTGTGTGTCTTTGTGTCTGTGTGTGAGTGTGTGAGTGTGTGTGAGAGTCAGTCTCCAAAATTCAAAGTTTATATTGTACCTCAAAGGAGTTTGATGCTATAAAAAAGGATAGGAAAAAGAAAGAGAGAAAAATCTGCAGGAAGGAAGCCCTCATAACAACAAGATCCTCTATTTAACTTAGATTCCACATCTCAGACCTCTCAGTCTTTCAGGTCATTAAACTGTGGCTTCTCTGTCCTGTATGTTTATTTGTGTTTTAAAGTGAAAACACCAAGTTATTGTTATATTCAAAAGGTAATAAGAGTTTTGATGTTTCTTTTGGATTGGTAAGAAGTTTTTATATTTAAAGATAAGATTTTATAGACATTAAAAAGCAAAGGAGCTGGGCTTGGTGGCTCAGCCTGTAATCCCACGCCTTTGGGAGGCTGAGATGAGTGGATTGCCAGAGCCCGCGGGTTCGAGACCCGCCTGGGCAGTGAGACCTCATCTCTACAATAAATCAAAAAAATCAGCTGGGCGTTGTAGCGCATGCCTGTAATTCCAGCTACTTGGAAGGCTGAGGCGGAAGGATCGCCGGACCCCAACAGGTCGAGGCTGCAGTGGCCGGGAGTGGCCACTGCACTTCAGTCTGAGCGACAGAGTGAGACTCCAACTCAAAAAAATAAAAATTAAAAAAATAAAAAATAAAAAGCAAAGGAAGCAGATGGGGCAGTCTGGAGAAATGCAGGTGATTTCATCTACTGTGTTTTATGCCAATGTTTAGCTCCCGCCCATGGTGGGTTTAGCTCCAGGTACCCCAGGAGAGACAGTTCTGTAATAAACTGCTTCCAGGGTAGCAAGGCATGTCTTCATCGTGGTGGGGTTGGCTTGTTGTCCTTCTAGAGAATGAATGTTCTGGGGAGGAAAGGTGACTCTTGGATTTCTGAGAGGTTGGGTGAAATGTTGAAAGCATCTGATTTTTATAAGCCTATTTAGAATTCTTTGTGCTGGCATATTCTTTCCTTGGCAGCTGTTTTATTGAAATAATCAATTTTGGAGGTGTGCAGGTATTTGCATTTTGGTTCCATTGGTTGGTCCCGCTCCGTGTCATGCAGATCCCGTCTTGAGCCCTGGCTGTGGCAGTGTGCTGTCCCTTGTTGCTTGCTATTGGAGGCAACAGTTAGCACTTCTGGCCACTTGAAGGCTCCTGGTGGAGAGAGGAGCATGTGAAGTTCTGGAATGTAGAGGCAATCCCAGCTATCTGACAGCAGTAGTGTCTGGAGTGATCAGAAGCCGGGTGTAATTAGGGAGTGGTGGATAACTATTGTCTCCAGACAAAAGATAGTGCAAGGGGATTGGGAACAGCTGGCACTGCTCTGGAGCAGCCCACCACCTGGTCTGTGCTCTCCCACCGCTCAGTACTTCTGCTTTGGACAGCAGCAACAGCAGCCTGTGGAGCCTGCTGTGCTGGAGGGAAGGAAGCAGAGGGAAGGAAGTGACTGCCTGGGAGGCAGGAGGCTGGCTGGGAGCCACAGGACTCCCAGGAAGTGAGTGCCTGTTCCCAGTCAGTGACTGAGTTGCATCTGTGTATAATGCCATCCTGTGGGCTGGGTGCCAGTCCACAGTGCCTTCCCAAACGTGCCCAGGGCCTAGACAGAAAGGTCACGTCTTTTGTCCCTGGCAGAGTCGACCCTCTGCTTGTCTCCTGGGAATGCTTGCTGCTGATTGTGCTTAGGGTCTGTGCTGCCAGCTGCCTGCTGGGAGGAAGTAGATTCTGGGCTCATGCCTAGAATGATGCTTGTTGCTCTCTGTGATCCACGGGAGACCTGGAGAGGCCTGCTGGGGAGTGTGTTCTTTCTACCACCCCCCAACATTAGTGATGGGGTGAGGGACTCACAGCATGAGGACTCGCAGGCATCTTGTCCTCAGTGAAGCACTTCTAGCTTCAAAAGTAAGCAAGCCCAGAAGAACGGGGAGAGGTGGCGGTGTTGTAATGCTAAAGCCCTCCTCTGGGTGAGTGACAAAGTGAGAAAGACACAGAAGGGCTGATGCTGTGGTTGCTCCAAAAGCCCTTCTTACTCTCTACTGCATTTGCTCTTGCTAACTCTGCTGAGCCTTTGGAAGGACACAGCAAGTATTGGTTTTGACATATGGAAGGAGTGAAAAATAGGGCTGCAGCATATTCAATAAAACCATTTGTCAGTGTTTACTTTTGTCAAATTGATAGTTGCTTGCTTTGGTTGTCTATGATTCTACCTCAGCTTGTGGTCACCATAGTGCCTCATGGTGGCTCTGCATTATTAGAGGTCATTGGAATAAAAGTCTGCACTTGGGGCAGGAGCCTTGGTAGCCTGAACAAGATTGACTCCTACCTTCCAGGTTTACAGAACAGTTCAATTAAGATGAAGTCCTGATAGTCTTTTTTTTTTTTTTTTTTTTTTTGAGTTAGAGTCTCACTCTGTCGCCCAGGCTGGAGTACACTGGTACACTCGCGGCCACCGCAGCCTTGACCTGCTGGGCTCAGGCGATCCTTCCACCTCAGCCTTCCAACTAGCTGGAACTACAGTGACATGCAACCATGCCTGGCTAGTTTTTGTGATTTATTGTAAAGATGAGGTCTCACTAAGTTGCCCAGACTGGTCTCGAACCCGTGGGCTCAGGTAGTCCTCTCACCTCGGTGTTTTTCTTTATAATACAAACGACAGGTTTGTTAAATGGTTTCACTTTCTTCCTTTTATTCAAACCTACTTTATTGAAGATATGGATTGTGGAATGGTGAACCCCAGTCCATTATTCAGTCTTTGTTTTTCATGTGTCTGTTTTTGACAATTGCATATTTATTTTTTGAAGTGTTTATCAAATGCTAATTCACAGTTTCTTTCTCTCTTTTAGAGAAACCATGGGATTACGGCAACCACAGAATCTCTGTAATACAAGTTCCATTCAGTTTTTTCTGAAAGAAAACTATCAGTTAAGGTGAAGCAAAGGCACTGCTGTGGATTATGATGTTTTGAAGTTCTGCATTTTCAGCGCTTTGACAACAAGGCGTCATTTAACCTTTTAAATGCAAAACATTAAGATCCCATGCAATTGTATTTTCTGGAATCCATTCTCCAAAAGGGAAGTGCACATTTCAGACACAGCCATGTGGGTCCTTTTGGCAGGGGTTTGAGTCTACTTGCTGTCACATCATGACCAGCTTGAAACGATCGCAGACAGAAAGGCCCATTGCCACTGACAGGGCCTCTGTTGTCGGCACAGACAGCACCCCCAAGGTCCACACTGATGACTTCTACATGCGGCGCTTCCGGTCTCAAAATGGCAGCTTAGGGTCATCCATCATGGCTCCTGTGGGACCCCCACGAAGTGAAGGCTCTCACCATATCACTTCGACTCCTGGAGTCCCAAAGATGGGGGTCAGGGCCCGGATTGCAGATTGGCCACCGAGAAAGGAAAATATCAAAGAATCTAGCCGTTCAAGCCAGGAAATAGACACCTCTAGTTGCCTTGAGAGTATGTCCTCCAAGAGCAGCCCCGTGAGCCAGGGCAGCTCTGTGAGCCTCAACTCCAGCGACTCGGCCATGCTGAAGAGCATACAGAGCACGCTGAACAGCAAGACGAGGCCGGCGGAGAGCATGGACTCCCGGTTCCTCATGCCTGAAGCCTATCCTGGCTCCCCGAGGAAGGCACTTCGCCGGATCCGTCAGCGGAGCAACAGTGACATCACCATAAGTGAGCTTGATGTGGACAGCTTTGATGAATGTATCTCCCCGACGTACAAGACGGGATCATCGCTGCATAGGGAGTATGGTAGCACGTCCTCCATCGACAAGCAGGGCACGTCCGGAGAGAGCTTCTTCGATCTCTTAAAGGGTTACAAGGAGGACAAGGCGGACCGAGGCCCAACACCGACCAAGCTTAGTGACTTTCTCATTGCCGGTGGGGGCAAGGGCTCTGGCTTCTCCTTGGATGTCATCGATGGGCCCATCTCACAGAGGGAGAACCTCAGACTCTTTAAGGACAGGGAAAAGCCACTCAAGCGCCGGTCTAAGTCGGAAACCGGGGACTCCTCCATTTTCCGTAAGTTGCGCAATGCCAAAGGAGATGAGCTTGGGAAGTCGTCGGACCTTGAGGATAACCGGTCAGAGGACTCCTCCAGGCCCTGGACTTGTCCTCGGTGCTTCTCACACTATGATGTGCAGAGCATACTGTTTGACTTGAATGAAGCCATCGTGAGTAGGCACAATGTGATCAAGAGGAGGAACACTACCACAGGAGCCTCAGCGGCGGCTGTGGCATCCTTGGTCTCAGGGCCCCTGTCACATTCTGCCAGCTTCAGCTCCCCCATGGGCAGCACAGAGGACCTGAACTCCAAAGGAAACCTGGGTGTGGACCCGGGAGATGACAAAAGCAACGAGCTGGTTTTGAGCTGCCCATACTTTCGGAACGAGATAGGTGGGGAAGGGGAGAGACAGATCAGCCTGTCCAAGGCCAGCTCCGGCTCCTTCAGCAGCTGTGATGGTGCCTCTTTTGAAGCCACCCTGACCTCCCACTGCACAAACGCAGGTGTGGCTGTCCTCGAGGTACCCAAGGAGAACTTGGTGCTGCATCTCGACAGAGTGAAAAGGTACGTCGTGGAGCACGTGGACCTTGGTGCATACTACTACAGGAAGTTCTTCTACCAGAAGGGTGAGTGCACAGCCGTGTGTTTTTAAATTTTCTTTTGCTGTACTTTCTGAAACAAAGTAGAGTATTTTTGTTTTGTTTCTTTTGGAGGTTTTTTTTTTTTTTTTTGCAACATGACATAAACTTTGCATGATTTTCTTATTTTTCTCAATGGTTAAATAGCTACTTGTTGCAATTTATTTCTTTTTGCTGTTTTTGAATTACTTTCCCCTTTCAGGTATACAAGTGTTTTGCATACTAAACATTACTGTTTACAATAAAAAAGCCTCTTTGATTTATTTAGTGGATGAAATTATAGTCTTAGTGTGTAGAAGATGTGCTGTATCACCCTAGGGATAAATGTATAAAATTGAAAATATTTTAAACATAGCTTTTTTAAAAAAAGGGCTGAAAAACAATTTTATTGCTACTTTCATTTTTTAACACTTCTACAGTAAGTACAGAACCAATGTTTATGTTGTTGTTGTTTTGTTTTTGTTTTTGTTTTTTTTTTGCTGCGTCAATGTTCTCATCCATAGATAGGAATGATAACATATTCCTATCCATCTCCCAGGAACTTTTGTGAACATGAATGACAAAAGTCACAGAGCCAATACATCTCAGCACCAAAAGTAAAATTAAGATCTAGGTCTTTGATTTAAGTAGAAAAGAGAGACGTACCTTTAACATGTTGGTTACTTCCTTTCTAGTCTTTTCTTTGGGAAAGGAGGTTTAAGATATATACATATATTGATATGTAGGTATATATAGTTGAGATTATACTTTATATATAGTTTTATCATCTACTTTTAAGAAAGGTACTATGAAAAGCACGTGGTATAAATGAACTTGAAGAACTTTCTCATAGTGTTTTGAGCAATATTATTAACTAAAGGACGAGTCTGCATCATCCAGGTGTCCAAGCTGGAAGCAGGGTGATCACTGAGGAAGGACATACACCCTTGTGGCCCTTAGCTAGCTCAGTAATCTCTGCAGCCAGGTGTGGAGGCCCGTGGTGAGGCCCCTGTCTGCAAAGGACTCCACCAGTGTTTTGATTTCCACTGTTGGGGACCTTGGATGGTATTTAGATTTATTCTTCTGAATGAAGTTAAGTTCCAAATCTAGTACTCATTATAGCTTTATGAAATGGTCCACTTTAGGTTTATTGATCAAGAGAATATTGTTTTGGTACTGAATATACATGTCTCTTTTCTGAGTATTTATGGTGTGGATCCTGCAGTTAGTATCATAATAAAAGTCCCAATTTCATTGTTAAACAATGTTTATCTTCTCAGAATGACTTTCTGGAGTTCAGATTTCAGAAGTTACATCTCTCTTACATAGCCCTTTATGGTTCAAGGTTTCCAAATATGCTTGCCAACTTGGTACTTGGTGCCAGATGATTCTTTGTTGGGTTGGGGGGCTATCCTGTGCATTGTAGCATATGTAGCCGCATCCCTGGCCTCTACACCCTAGATGCTAGTAGGTTTCTCTCCTCTCACAATTGCCCAAACTGACTCCTGGCAGTGCCACATGTCCCTGAGGAAGCAAGGTTGCTGGAGTTGAAAAGCCCTGCTTCACTGCACCTGGGGAGTTTTCTCCAGGTGTTTCTGAGCTCACTGTGGGTAGAGGCCATCTTGTTTCCATCTGTAACTGACACTGACGTGGTGTCAAACATATTAGCATCTAATTTATGTAGCGATGGGTACTTTTTCCTATTAGGCAATGGAATAATATTAATAGTGACCAGTTTTGTGTGCTTATTATGTACCAGGCACTGTGCTGAGCATTAGTTGTGACACATTTTCTCACTTCAACCTCTTGATGCCCATGAGGCAGTTACTATTGTTAATCACACTTTCAGATGAGAAAACAGGGGTTTCATGGCTTAAGTGATAGCTCTCATGGAGCAGTCATTTTGGGGGTCAGGCTGTCTGAGCAGAGTGCTCTTCTTACTGCTCTCTGATCTCTGCTGGGGTAGACTAAAGGGAAGGGAATCTTATTGACAGTCTTTTATCTTTCAAAAGTATTGAATTAAAATGTAAACACCTCGATTTCAGAGTTACCCTGCTTATTCATAATACCTCATAAATTTAAAAGCCATCAGTCCAGTAGTTAGTGACTTAAAGTATGGAAAATGCCCTCTTATCCAACATAATTGGCACTGGTGTATTGAAAGTACCAATTAAAGCAGGGAATTAAAAAGTAGACACATCTGAAATACTTTGTGTGTGTGTGTGTGTGTGTGTGTGTGTGTGTGTGTGTGTGTGTGTGTGTGTCTCACTCTGTCGTCCAGGCTAGAGTACAGGACCTGGTAGCACACACCTATTTCCAGCTACTTGAAATGCTGAGGCTGAAGGATCGCCTGAGCCCAGCAGGTTGAGACTTCTGTGGCCATGAGTGTGCCACTGTACTCTAGGTGTAGTGAAGCAGGGCTTCTCAGCTCCAGCAACCTTGCTTCCTCAGGGACATATGGCATTACCTGGAGATAGTTTGGGCTGACACAACTGTGGAAGGAGAGAAACCTACTAGCATCTAGGGTGTAGAGGCCAGGAATGTGGCTATATATGCTACAATGCACAGGACAGCCCTGCCCCACCCAACAACAACCCATCTCGCCATGTTGCCCAGGCTGGTCTCGAACCTGTGGGCTCAGGCAGTCCTCTCGCTTCTGTCTCCCAAGGTGCTTGGATTACAGGCATGAGCCACCCGCACCCAGCCCATTCTTGCTTTTTATAACAACATATAAAAAATGCCAAACTCTTGGGAGGCCGAGGGCTTTTCTTTGACAGGGATGCTGCTATTTGGAGTTCTGCCTTGTGTGAATGGGATAACCACCAGAACAAGAGCAGACATGAGCAGAGCCTTGGTACAGAACAGTAGTCATCATCGATTTCTCTCTCTTTCTTTGTAGCTGTCTTGCCCATATCTAATCCAACGACTTTCTTCTTAGTGACTTGCCTTTATTAAGACTTTTAAAAGCCTTCAACTTAGTTCTTAGAGAATCACCATGTATCTTTTATACCTATGTTTCATCAACTTTCATAATAATGACATTTCATAATTAAAATAACAAGTCACCTGGCATAAACAGGTTTGGGAAGTCTCAGCCCACGCTATCAGCTTGAAGTCCAGCTGGGGGAGTGTTGCTTGCAAGGGTCTCTGGGGAAACCCGCCTCCTGTGGGGTGGGCCCTCACAGCATGGCCCACACAGGGCGGGGAGGGCAGCCTGTCCACAGTGCTCTTCACAGGACGGGGAAGGGTGGTCTGTCCATGGTGCTCTTTGCAAAAGGTGGCCCATCCACAGTGCTCTCCAGTGGGAGTCAGCTGCTAAGATCACCTGCTGCCAAAGCTCCTCTTGGGCTGTAGAATTTTCAAGCTGGGCAGGTTGTGTGACAGTATGATGATGCCTGGCAAACAGTGACCCTCAATGGCATAATTTGAAACAGAAGTTAAGCCCCCAGAACACAAGCTGGGTGCTAACAGTATTGTAATCTGCATTTTCTATTATTGTGTAAAATATAGTTAAACAGTTCTGTCTCATACTTTTTAATAGATAACTTTGATTCCCTGAGGCTAGGTGCTAGCTCACTTTTACTGATCAGAACCTTTAATCAAACTCTTTCGTGGGTAAGCACACCAGGCCTGGATGTGGCATGTTCTCCAGCTCCAAGGTGAGTGCTGTGGACCTGCTGTCCCCCGGCCTCTTGCTCATGAGAACTTCCCTGCAGCTATTCAGTACACTCCTGACTTCACTGTGGCTGGGGGTCTGGGAAGTAAAAATTACCTGCAAAGTACACTCTACAGTTGACATTCTCTGTAAAATTTAATCATCCTTGAATGAAGAAGCTGTGACGACTTTTCAATATTATGTTGTTTTATGATCATTATTTTGCAAATTGGGACTTTATAGGGAGGACATGAATCTGGTGTATAAGCAAGTTCATTGCTGGAGGATGCTGGCCTGCTAGAGGAAGCCCCTAAAGAAAGCTTGCACTCACTAGAATAAGCAACAGGCCATCCATGTGCTTCTTTATAGCCCTTTCTCCTGCTTGCTGCCTCTGCCAGTTCACTGGTGGGCATGTGGTTGTCAAGACTTGTCCAGGCCAGGCTCGGTGGCTCAGCCTGTAATCCCACACTTTGGGAGGCTGAGGTGAGTGGATTGCCTGAGCCCGCGGGTTCGAGATCCGCCTGGGCAGCGAGACCTCATCTCTACAATAAATCAAAAAATCAGATGGGCGTGGTAGCGCATGCCTGTAATTCCGGCTACTGGGAAGGCTGAGGCGGAAGGATCGCCAGAGCCCAGCAGGTCGAGGCTGCGGTGGCCGGGAGCGGCCACTGCACTCCAGTCTGGGCGACAGAGTGAGACTCGAACTAAAAAAAAAAAAAGACTTGTCCAGGATTGAGTGGCAGTTGCCATACAGCCAGTGCTCTCTGTGCTACTGCTGTGTTCTCCATGGAGATGTCCTCCCTCAGCGTTTGTGGGCCCTTGTGGTGAGTCTGTTGTGATCGAAGTCCCAGTGATGCAGCCACATCCCACGAGGGGGCTGCCAGCTGGGCAATGACCACATCACATCAGCCTGGCCACCTTCCTGCAGGAGTCACCATGATCAAAGTGCTAAGGACATTTCTGAGTGGAAGACACTGAGTGGTGGAAGAATGCAGCATGGCTGTAGCCTGCATGCTGGTTGGGGAGAAGACCATCCCTCTCTGTGCGCCTGCCTTCTGTGAACTTGAGAACTCTGTCAGCTCTGCCCAGAGCACACAACTTGCTCCAAGGTGTGTTCTCCTTGAGTCTTGTCTAGAGGAGTGCAGTCATGGGAGATGGGAGCCCGGGGTGCTGAGATCCCAGGAGTGCCAGGCAGTGACACTTGTTGGCTTTTTTGGTGACAGCATTGGCAGGCTTGCTGCATGCTAGACAGTGTCCTCTCATCAAGGGATGGGAGAGCCCCTCCACTGCGCAGTGGCCAGAGAAACCCATTGTCTGGTCTGAAGCTCCTCTAAGAGTATTTTCCTACTCCCTG